CCAGCAGGCTTCGGAGAAAAAAGTGTCTCCAAGTTTGGGGTACAAACCCAAGATGTTTGCAAAATCAGCACTTCTGATGACCCGTAGCATTTTCTACTAACATTTAGGGCCCTTAAATATTTTGTCTATTCTAATTTAAAGGTTTTGTACTGTAATCCAGGCCTGCAACAGTTTTCTTGCTCTGCAGGGTCAGAAAGGTTGACAGCTTAGAGGCAGAAGTCCCTGTGCAATACCGGCCTCTGCGAAAACCACAGAAGAAGAACCTGCGTCCTGCAAAGACAGGCTTAAGTAGTGCTGCTGCATTCAGTGGCACTTTTGTTTATAAGAACAAGTCCCAGACGTCTGCAGAACTGAGACCTTCCAGTACTGCTGGGTTTCAGCTTTTCTTTGCAAGGGTTATTTCACAATTAAAAGAAAAAATCCCGACCTTTGACAAAACATTGACGACAGCCATATCTCCCACTGACCCAGCCAAGTGCTGTTTCGCCTCTCAGTGCTAGAGACGGGGAGGTGACTGCACGTGCGGGGCCTGCGGGCCGTCGCTCCTGCCCCGAATCCAGCTGTGCGGCATCTCGGCCACCCCGGTGCCCCGAGAAACACAGCTGTTTGCTGGCGCCCTCCCGAACACGGCGGCAGGCACAAACCTTGCTCCGTGGGTGCACTCAGAGGCTGGGCCCACCAAAAAAGGAGCCCACCTCAGCCGCTCTTTGAATTTGCAGACAGATATATATATATATATATGTATGTATGTATGTATGTATGTATATATTTTGCAACTGAGAGTGTTCGCAACCTTCTGAGGCAAACAAACGAACACAGCAATTGTTTGGAGGAACAGTCTTTTCACAGAAGACCATTTCTTTTCCTTGAATATCAACTCCACTGTGTAACTGGTATAACAATCATTATGCCGGCTTAATTATATACTACTGGTGTTGTTCAGAAGGACATAAACACAGCTGAGCGGTTTGGTCCATGACATTGTCCCTTCCAAGATCCCATCAACAACCCCCATTTTTAAGACTTAATTCACACCTCCATTCTTTGATTTATCTTGTTTGGGCTTGACTGGAGTGGAGGCAGCCAGTGGCTTAGCATGAAGTGCAAGTAGATGGAGTTAAAGGCTTTTTTCTGTTCATCTTGTCTCCCTGCCTTCCCAGGTGTTGCTTGAATTATTTGCAGCAGTGTATTTGACCTGAAACAGGTTCATGAAACAGCAGTTCAGAAGGAAGCTGCCTGCAGAAATTGCCAGGCCACTTGGCTCTCTTCCAAGTAAAACTTCTTCCTCCATTTCCATGCAGTCTGAAGACTTAACGCCCGGGCGCTTGCTGCCCAGCTGCTTCGGGACAACCGGAGCACGTGCTGAAGGGCAGCAGTGAGATCGGCCTCCGTAAGGATGCAGGAACTTTCCTCCTTCTCCTGTGCGGCAAAACCTCTCCCGCTCGTGAGACAACACGTCCGAGCGGTGTGCATGTTCGCTGGCAAACGGAGGCCTCCGCGGGTGCTGAGTAGCGGCAGCGGGAACTGTGAAATCCTCGCTGGGTGTCAAAACCCCAAAGCCCAGTGTCGCAGCGACAGCTGGATGGCCCAGCTGCTGCTGCGGAGGGGCCGCTGCAAGGGATGCTGCTCAGCACCCCTTTTCGTGACCCGGCTGCTGTTTTGGTATCACACCCTGTGGCATATCGGCATATGTGCTAACCCTCCTGCAGCCCGTGCCGCCTGGCCCAAGGCTGCTGGGAACCGTGAGACGTCCTGCGGGTGCTGTGCTGCGCAGGGACTGACGTTGCAGGTGGAGCAGGTAATGGAAAAGCTTTTAGACTTTCTGCAGGCCGGATGCTCGCTCATCCTGACAGCCTTCCGCGGGGGGCTGCAGCAGCGCTGGAGGTAACACTAATAAATTCATGCTTCTGTACAAGTAATCTACAGGGACCGTCCTTCAGTAAGTGAGAGCAGCCATTTTACTGAGGTCAGTACAAAGCAAAATCATATTTTCAACAAGCAACAGAACCATCCTGGTTTGTCTGTTGTGCTTAATGGTCGCTATATGCAAATATATAAAAGGGAGCTTCACGAATAAAACTTCCTTAGAAAGAGGACTCCCATCCCGCAAGGACAGAGGGGCATCATTAGGCCAGTTGACCTCAGCACACGCCAATCAGCTCTTAATTAGCTGCAGCAAGAGCCCTGGCTCCAGCCTCCTCCCCTGCAGCTGAGCAGCCCTGGGAGGGCGCTGAGCTCCGTCCTGCCCTGGAAAGCCAGGTACGGGAAGTCTGCCCCCGAGTCTGCTGCTGGCAAATCTGCTTTCACGTGGGTCCCAGGTAAGGACACATCACAGCAGCTCATTGCTTGAAAACTCCCACCTGCAGTTAGTGGAGTTGCAGAGTAGCCCCTGAGTGAGCAATAATCTCTTTTTTCTTGGAGCAACCTGACACTAAAGCCTGCGGGACTGTGTGACAGGGGAGGCTCTCCTGTGCTCTGAGGCTAGCGGTAACCACCAGAAGGGAGGACCTGACTCTTTCCTGAGCTCAGAGTCAGAGGTCTGCCAAATATAATCTGCAAGATTTTATTTCTTTAGAAAAGAGGATGTTGAAGGGACAAGTAACAGCTGGTGGAAAACGCTGTGAAGAGAATAATGGGGCTGGGTAAGGTGAAAACTGCTGATTTTTCAAAGAAGAGGATTTGGTTAGACACTGAGGTCAGGCTGATGAATCCTGAGCGTAGCAGCAGACGGAGCGAGTCTGTGGTATCTCCTGCACTGGAGGCTTTCTTAGAAAGAAGTTAGATGAGCATTTTTGTTTGAGAGCTGAGTAAAAGGCCTTCCAGTGAGAGAATAAAAGAGACCAATTTGATTTAATCTATTAGGAAGAACAGAGAGGTGAATCAATTATAGTGTGTCTATAAGTACCTTAATGGGGAACGGTACTGTCTGCTATGTCTAGAGGAAGGCGTAGCTGGAATTTGTCTGAAAGACAAAATCAGATAAAACCACATCTGAAACTGGGCAAAAAACTTGAACAGTACAGAGGGATTTACCTGTGGAACAACCTGCCCAGTGAGTATTCTTTGTGGATGTCCTCAAAGCAAGTTGAATGGTTTTCTGGAAGAAAGTATTATAGCCGAAAACCTCTAGAGCCCCATTCGTAGGTAATGGGATCTGACTTAATGGTCTGTGACATGTAAAAGAAAAATAGGGCAGCTGTTGTCTCGTCCGTCCTTAAAACTGTGAGTTTAAGTAGCTCCTTCAAATCTGTCCATCCACTCTCGCCTGAGTTCAGCACCCTACATGCTTGGAATGGCGGCTAAATATTAAGGGAAAGCTGAAATGCCCCCCCAGTCAGCTGGATGGCCCGTCCGACTCCTGAACCCTTGCTTGGTTTTACTTGCCAAAAATGTGTTGCTGTTACAAACAGCAGACGTGTCAATGATGAAGTGAGGAAGCAGCCAAGGGGACTATCAAAACACTGCATGCTTTGGAAAACACTTTCCCAGAGCTACAAAAGCAACTAGAGACGAAAAAAGAACAGTAAACACAGCAGACCACATCAGGCTCCCATGTAGGTGAAGGCAAGAGGACCTCATCTCCTTTAGAGTAGAGCTTTCATCGAAGGTGAAAAAGCACCTTTTGGAGGGTAGCAGTTGAGACGCACCCAGGCTCTCCAGGTTTCTCAATTTGCTGTTGGTATCCGTCATGACCGGTGAAGCACTTAAAGAGGAGGAGAAGCAGGCAGCAGGAAATAACAAAGGCACTGATGCTATGTACTGCCTTGGCTGCCTTTTTTTTTTCCCCCCTCCCAGTTAAGTTTACTTGTTGTTTTGGGATATTAGATAAGCATCAGCTCTTTTGGGCAAAAAGCCTAAATTTAATCATGCCATTATAGTTCTCTTCTGGGAGCTCATCTCTTGTTTGATTTTTATCTTTCTTGGATTGTAATGAGAAGGGAAAACCTGTCATCTCCGGGAAATGCTGTTGCTCTCTGTAAAGGTTTCTCCTGCACATCGGCGTCCCGTGGCTTTTGCCCGATTCCACGGCTGAGTCCTGGCAGCGCACACGCAGGGTTGGTGGCGTTAGCTCAGATCTCCTGGCCAGCTTGCAGAGATGTCTAGCAGCATCCCGGCAGTTTAGACAGCCTGGAGGGCTCTCCGTGCCACGTGGGTGTGGGAGAAACCAGCTGTCGTATGCGTGGGGCAATCCCATGTCTCCTACCCCGGGACAGATGTGCTGCTGGTGTGAGACCCTTCCCTGTGGTAGGCCGGGGCATGTGAAAGCTCAGTGTCGGCTGACACAGGGCAAAGGCGCCCTGGGCAGGGAGAGCTGGAGCGTCGCGTCCCTGTGTCAGCGCTGAGCTGGAAAGGACGGACGCCGGGAACGTCCGTGTCCTGGGGGAAACGGGGATCGAGCCATGTGCTCCGCCGGGCTCGCGCGGAGGAGGGGGAGCTGTCTGTCAGGACACAATCCTGGGCAACGTGCTCTTGGTGGCCCTGTGTGAGCCGGGGGTTGGACTCGGTGACCTCCAGAGGTCCCTTCCAGCCCCAACCCTTCTGTGAAGTCACTGAGTTTTCACTAAAACACATAATTCCTCCCGCTCTGCCCCCCCTTTTTTTTTGTTTTTCCCCTCCCTCCCTTTGAAATTCAAAGTGCAATGCTAGATCAACTGCCAAATTAATTTAGGAACGGCTGAGCTGTTAATGTCCGCAGCAGAAGAAAGAAGATGCCTTGATTGCTACGCAAGCCGCCAGCGCCCTCCCAAGTGGAACGTGAAGTCCCACCAGCGACGTCGCCCTCTTGCCGCGGTTTGGCCGCAATCTCCGCCGGCGAGGCGAGCAGCAAAACGCTGGCTGGTGGTTTAAAAACCCCTGCTTTGGGAAGCCACCGGCCAGCTAAGATAAGGGGCCCGAGCTCGGGCTGCCCGCGGCTCGCTCCGATGGGGCAGCAAGGGAAGCGGCTGTGCCCCGGGCAGCTGGGTGAGCCCGGCGCGTTTTTCGGGCTGCGGGGAGCTCACCTGACAGGATGGAGGCCACGGCGGCGATGATGAAGGAGA